ACTGTCACTTGTCACGTCGTATTAAGTGTGAAGAGTGATTCGAACAGTTAATAGTATTGATTCGAATCACAACCCTTACATTATTCTGACAACATGTTAATGAAGTAAACTCTTAAGTTTGCATCGGTCAAAAGAAGACAAACTCAAATATATGATAACTTCACTTGTCAGAAGCCTCACATCTCAGAAGTAAAACACTACAAATCAAACAATAGAAACATATTTTTCTATTATAGAGGACATATATATTCTGAGATACTCCTTTTCATTCTGGACAGTTCACATGTTGAGAACAGGTCTATATTCAGCAAGGAATTTTAAAATGGATAACAGTCATAAGAAAAGGCTGTATCAAAAGGTTTTAAAAGAATAGTTCACTTCTGAACATAACCTCAAATTTTAATCCTAGAATATATAAATAGATTTTTTAGACAGTTAAGTAAAAGGAATAAGAGTTAGAAAAAAGTTACTCTCAATTATTTGGTAGACTTCCAGCTTACTTTCTATCCCAATATGTAGATGCTTCTTCAAAGTTGACACAAAATTGTTTCTCCAATTGAATACGTTGTTGATGAATATCTCTAGCTGGACCGCTAGGTCAAAATTTCCTTAGAACTGACATCACTGTTGTCTTCCTTTCTTCAGATCTTGACTGAGATGCACATGAGTCCTTGAATCTTGTACTTAGACAAGATCTTCTTTATATCTTCATTTATTTTCTCATTCTGATGAATGAAACATCTCTCCTGATGTTTGTTGTATATAAATCATCAAAGGAAACTGAGTTATCTCCTAACTCTTCTACTTTTGATCCACCGCTTCTGTCTTTAATAAGACTTACTTCTAGAAGTCCTCTTGATTCAATCAAGTAGTTTCCAAATACTAAACACCATATACAGAGAGAATATGTTGAATTCTCCTTGCGTCACCAGAGTTCAATCTTTGACCAAATGCTCTTCTTCAATAGATGCAGATAACATCATAAACATCAAACCACAAAATATTCAAAGGGTTTGAATGTTGATCTTGTTCTTACTGACTTAGTCTTATCACTCAGAATTAGTACTTTAGAAAGTAAAGATTATTGTCTAAGCTTTCTTAGAGGGGTAAGAACTGTGACAACTTCTGATTGGGCATCTTCTGATCTTTTCATCTTGTACTTATTTAGCAGCTCCATTTACCTTTAGTATCTGAAAGGGAAATCTCCAGATTTGCAATCTTCCAATAAGCTTTGGTTTTTAATCTACAACTCTTATCATCGAATTTGACATCAATTTGATTTCTACAGAAGTACTTTGTAGCTTTTTGAGCATTCTAATAAAAAAGTATCAGAATATATCTGAAAAGATTTCTGTTATGAATAACATGCTACAACTCCTTAGAAATTCTTTAACATGATAATTGAAATTCTAGCATGCAAATATAGATGTCGAGACAAATGTCACAACACCAGGATCAACAATAGCTTGATCACACAAGTAAAAACTGTAGGAAAATAAATGACATAAAAATAAAATCAACACCAGAATTGTTAACCCAGTTCGGTGCAAATCACCTACAACCGGGGGCTACCAAGTCATGAAGGAAATTTACTATGATAATATTAGTTCAAAGCTAAACTCGCCCGTTTGCAACTTCGCGCCTAATTCATACCTTGTGCAACTTCTAACTAGACACCCTCTAGATATGAGATCTCCCTCTCACTTCCTAATCAGTCACAATCCCAGTGAATCAATAATTCCAAAAATAACATAAGTAGCACACTTCCAAGATAATACTTGATTTTGCTTAAAAACTTCAATCAAGAACAATATACTCTTTCTTAAAAGCTTTATAATGGAAAATGAACAATAAACAATCAGTCAAACTCAATGCATCAGAAGATACATGAGTGACATACAATTAACAAACAGAAAACCCTAAAGACCAACTAAAACAACGACTAATCCTAATTCCCAAGATTCTTCACATTATGCTCTATGCTTCAACAAGGTTTATCTTCTCTTGAAATAACCTTCAGACCTACTGGATTTGAGCTTCTTGAGGCGCACAAATAGTAGCAATCAGTATAAACTGGCTGTAAATCATCCTGCATAATGTTAGGAGCAAAATACAAAATTTCTTAAAAAGGCTCAAGGATCCTTTTTATGAAAAGTAACAAAATTAGTCATAATAGAAAATCCCACAATATACTCCTATAAAATTCGCCCACATGTGCATCAGAACACACTAAAAAATCACACTAAAAATACCAAAATTGACTTAGATTTGGGTTGGGTTAGGTTTGAGTTAAAAGGTGGTATATGATTAGGGGATAAGTCATTGTCTAGGAAGGTGTAGATAGCGGGTTAAAGGGTATGCATCTTTACATAAGGAAAAGAGGTTACATTAAATATAACATGGCGGCAAATGATAATTTTATTTGATGATAAATCTAGACATTTATAGCCTCTATGATTTTACGAATCCATGAAAGACACATGGTGTAGAGCAAGGTTGGATTTTATGTATTATAGTGAATGAAAAAAAGGGGTAACATAAACCCCCAAATACGCGTAAGTGGGAATAAAAGGGGTATTCTTTATGAAAATTTTAAAAGGAGACTTAAAATTAGTGGTTTTTCTAGGTAAAATATTCAAAAGGTATGTTGTCATTTCAAGAGCATGATGCCAAAAATATGGGGATAATGATGTATGAACTAATAGTGTTCAAATAATATTGTTAATTGAATGTATTTTTCATTCAGGTTTATCGTGTGAGATAAACAAAAATGGATTCCATTATTTTCACATATTTAAAAAAAAAATACTATTAACATATTCATGACCATTGTCAAATCGAATGGTTTTTATTTTCGGTTGAAATTGTGTGTTTATGTAAGCTCGGAGTTTTTGAAAACATGAATATACTTGAGATGGTAAATGTCCACAATTTTTTTTGAATAATTATATATCCAAAAATAGAACATAATATTTGTGACCTAACGTGCTTAAAATGAGAGATGTCCATACATCGTTATGTAAAATATCAAATGGCTATAAACTATAATTATGAATTCAAAAGTGGCAATTTAACATGTTTACCAAGAGGAAAAGAATGATAAAATGATAATTTAGCTTCCTAGTATTATTACATTCAATCAATTTATTTTGTTTAAGAGAATTTAAAACTAGCTCTCCAGGGTGACCTAAACGATCATGTCAAATATAAGATGACAAAGCTATAAAGGATGATGTAGGCTCGACTTTATTTATAAAGGTGGTATTGGTAGTGATGGGTTATAGACCGCCTTGACTCTCACGTCTCATTAGAGTCATCCTTGCATGAAAATCTTGAATCCTTCTCGAATCTTGAACAACCTATTGAATTCTTTATTTTTTTGCGAACACCAAACTTCATTAATAGTAACCAACACCTCTTTAGAAAGAAAAGTGCAAATCCTCTTGAAATACCAAACCATAATTAATCATAAGCCAAAATCCAAATTTTGACGCTTTAAAATCAAACTCAAGTTTAAGATTGATGTACTACATCTCCGGGGATATTTTCTTTACCATAAGCAAACCGCAGCTCATGTGGCACATAACCATGTCATTCAATCGAACCAATCTTTAGGGTTTTGTTACAAAGACAACCTATGAAAAGTGAAGCCCAGATCCAGATTAATCGGTCATGCTCTGCAAGGGACATTCAAAGCCTCATGACCTCCTGAATTTCCAGCAGTGACCTATCTTTCACAAACACAAACAAATTGGTTAAACGGTTAGCTAAAACGAAAAATAAACCGAAATGAAATGCGAAACGATCACTGAATTTAAAGGGTAAATTTTGGGATACAACAAATACAAATAAGAAAAAGGTCCGCAACATGGAAAATCTTTTGCCTCATTTATTTCAAACAATGTTTGAAACATACCAACAAGTCAACTATTGATCCCTTTCCTAAAATGGGATAGACTTGCCATTACCATTCCTGAGGATGAGTACAATCTAGGAGTGAAAGTCTGTAAACATCATTTACACGGAAGAATGGTTTGGTACAAAAGGTCATCACCATTAATAGTTGTTAACTTGAAGCTCAAGCTTTTGGAACTATGGCCTTCAATTGGACAATGACGAGTTACTTCCTTAGGAAAAGGATTCATTGCATTTTTTTTCTCTTCTCTTGAAGATAAAGAGTTAGAACAGTTAATGTCTGGACCTTAAATCACGGTGTTCTCAAGATTTTACCTGAGTTAAAAGACTTTGTTCCTTATACTCTAAAACATACCTTGGCTCAAGTGTGGATAAGGGTTCACGGTCTCTCACAAGAATATTGGAGATCACGTATAATTTTTTTATTGCTAGCAGTGTAGGAACTCTAATATACATTGATTTTGCTTCCAATAAATCCTCTTTTGAACGGCCTTTTGGACACTTCGTTAGAATTTTATTTGATTTAGACTTAACAAAGGAATTCAGTTAAAAAAATTTAGTGGAACGAGTGGGTTTTGCTTTCTTCGTAGACATAGAATATGAAAGGCCTCTGACATTTGTTTCTTTTGTTCTTGTATTGGTCATTCTTTGATCAACTGCAAAAGGAATGGACAATATCAAGGTAAATATAAGGAAATAACACATAAACATGTTAAGCATTCCATTCACATACTTAGGAAAGAAAATTGTCATTGAAGATAGCATCAACAAGGATTTAGAACAAAACAAACAAGATGAATTGATGATTGAACCAGTTATAGACACAAGGGAGGTCAACAAAGAAGATCTTATCAATGTTGTTGATCATGGAGGCATTATACAAATCAGAGAAACTATGGAAACTCTGAAAGTGTATAAAAAATTGAATTAAAATTTAGTTAAATAAGAATGCAATTTCAATAAAATTTAAAGAACACAAATTCAATTAAATTATTATTTAGTTAAACAAAATATACAAAAAGTTCAATCAAATTGGGAGAAGGGTGGAACAAAAACAAATTATGGGAAAAAATCTAACAAACTATCTAACTAGTACTAGTACTCATAAATAATTTAGCTTTTTTATACACTTCTGTCAAGCATTTTTTAAATCTAACTAAATCAATTATCACATTTTGTTTCTTCAAGTACACGAGTTGATTAGCCCATTTTCCATCACGAAAAGTTTCTGGATCTTTAATCACTAAACTATCAGCTCCATATTTCCAAGACAAGCTACTTTCATTTGCCTCTACTTTGTACTCAACATATTCCAATCCCAAAATCCTCGTTGGTTTGTTATAGTAAGTTTCTGAAGCCCACTCGAGTCCAATAGGCACAATTTGAACCAACACCGAACCTTGTCTAAGAAATAATAAATTTGTTAGACCTGCACCATGCACCCCTAACATTACATGGCTCGAATGAATCAACCTATAAGTATCGGCTACTGAGGAGTCTCTTGTTGTCTCTAAAGCATGTACGTTGAACCCTATATCTTCAGCTAACTTGATGACTTCTTGTTGATTCAAAATCGCACGCGAATTTCCTTTTCTACTCACCAATGTTAAAAGAGGCCTATCCGTATTATCGGAATACATTAATGAGATGTCATTTTTTATATATGCACTTTTTAGAAATGCATGAAAATCAAAGAGAGTTTTAGGGTATGGTAACAATTTAGGGTCTATGATCAATTGTCCATGCTTTATCAAACCTACAATTGCTGAGGGAAAACAATGTGTGGTTGTAAGGTTATTTGTTTCGATGATCATGTATTGAGGACTAAATACAGATAATAGATCATCATACTTTTTCAACCACCAAGCCTTACTGTCTATTATTACAGGTATTACATCTTCATCAGGAGATAATGAATTGATGGTGATAAAAAGAGGTATGAAAATTTCATTCATATCATGGTAGAAGTTTCCGGTGTATCCACTCCCACTAAATATTAGTGCTCGTCTATGATGTGTGACACCACATTGAGATGGATATTTTTGTGGATATGATGTGAGAGTAAATTCACTGATGGAAGACATTGCATCTTTACTATTTTTGAGAGGATAAGGATGAATTTTCTCATGGATGTGAGGTTGAGTTCTTGTATTTAGGTTCAAGGTAAAGAGAGTTAATGAAGTTTGATCTAAAAGGGTTGGACCATTCATGATGCATATATCAAAATCTTTATTAGAACGGTCACATGTGATTAATGTAGTGTTAATTTCCAAATCCAAATTTATGCGCAGATTTGAGAGCATTTGCCTAGTTACATCTGCACAAAGAAAATAAATATGATTTTGTATAAAAGTAAATAACATACTGAAATCTAATATTTTAAGATTTTTAAATTATTTTTCTATAATTAATTGTTAGTATAATAATAATAAAAATAAATCTACTTGATTTTATTACATAATAATTGTTTTGTTCTAAAAAATATAAATGGTGTAAATACTTTTGAGTATATATTTAGAGCTTTGTGCGCATTATTACATTGCAGTTGGATGGGTGTAAGTGAGTTAGGGTATCTCTAGTATTTTAGTGAAATATATTTTTGTTTGTTAAAAAAAAAAGTAAAATTATTATTTCTGTTAATCAAACAATTGATGTTTATACATGGTAAAAGACAATTTTATTTATAATATAAACAGTTGACGTATATGCATAATAAAAGCCAATTTTATTTATAATAACAATTAAATAGTGTAATTAATATAAAAGGACCGCAAATTAAAATTATCATTGGCTCCGACTTTTATTGTAAATATTAAATATCGAGTGAGTACTATCAAACTTGAGTATTGAGTCAAAAGTAAAACTTTAGAATTTTGTTATAAGCTCGTAAATATTTACTTTTTCTATGACATAATTTTTACAGAAAGTTGTATATATTTTGTGCTCTTCTCAATATTAATAAAAATATAATTAGAAAAGTATTGTTGAAATTTCTAAAGCTAAACTAATTAAATATCAAGTATTTTATTATAAAAGAGAACTTAAAAGTTTGTTATCTATAAATATAATTTTTAAAAATTCTTTTTTCAATATTTTTGTAAAAAAAACATGGTCAAAATTTCTAAAAATAAAATTAATTAAATATCAAGTATTTTACCATACAAAAGAACGTAAAAGTTTGTTATCTATAAATATAATTATTAAATTAACCAATACTCATCTCAAAGAGATGTTATTACTCAATTGTCATGAAAATTAATCAAACAAGTTATTGATTTTTATTAATATATATAACAAATCAAAACCTATCATATGAGTAAAATAATTGCATGGTTAATCTTAATATACTTGATAAATATGATTTTTTTAATAGCAAACTGAAACCAACAAGAGTTTGAAAATACAAACAATCACAAAGAACATAAAAAGAAGAACTGCAGAATAGTTATATTAATTAATTACCTTGCATAAAAGTTAACTGGAGAATGAAGATGAGCCCCAATAGTGCAAACCATGTACCCCATATTGATAATAATACTGTCTTCCCTTCCATCACAACACCCTGAAAGAGAAACAAAATTTATGAGTAATTATGGTTCTAAGGATTATTTGCAAACAACTCAAAATTTAAATACATGAAAATTGATTATCTAAGGAAAAGAGTTCTTTGTTACCTGATAGCTAGCACTGTGTCTCTGGCTTAGCTTCCCCACATTTATATCTATATATAGATAAAAAAAATTGATAAGGAAAATATAGATATAAAATTATATGGCCCTAGCACATAGTATTATTACTTATTTTATTTGTTGATACGTAAATTGAGTATTATTGTACTTCTTAAAAATATTTATATGTCTAAGTATATTTTATAAAATTTTAAATAAAAATTAAATTATTTTATATGTCATTTGCATGGAATTTGATATATATATATATATATATATAAAACGTTGAATCCTTATTTTAGAAGAAAAAGGATATTTGATTCAATTGATGAGATAATATAATTTTTTATTTTGTTTTCTGAAAAAGAAATTAGAGTTGTTTTCCTATTGTGTTTGAAGTCAATATTATTTGGTTGAATACAATTATATGTATTTGATCCAAAATTTTAGTTTGCGAATTTCTATCACTTTATTGGTTAAAAAGTGTTTTCTTAAAAACATTGTATTTTCTCAATTTTATTAAAAGGAAGTTATCAGATCCTATTTGGGCGATTTTAAGTTTGTGTCACGATTATGATATATTGCTTTATTTGAATGTGAGAATTCTTCACAAATGTTTTTATAAATAAATAAATAAAGGATTTTATTAAAATTGAAGAATAAGAAGGTTTGTTTATAAATTATTTTTATTTTTATCTTCGATTACTAAATGACATGTAATTATTTTAACTAGTTTAAAATATTCACACGTTTAATCTATTGTAATCCATAATTGTAGTTTATACTTCTGATTGAGATTCATTTTTTAGATCCTTCTAAAGATATATTTTCCGTCTTACAATAGCTGTTTTTTTTCCACAATGTTTAAAATAATAATTAATTATGTTAATTTTAATGATAAAATAAATATTATTTATTAAAATTATTTTATTAATCGTGAGATAATTATATATATAATAAATAAAAATAAGTTGATGAAAGAAATAATAAATATCACATTTATATTTTAAACAGATAAATAATATAAAAAAAATAAAAATAGAAAATAGGACCCTATGAAAAGGAAGGAGAGTATATAAAAACCTATTCATTACCAATTCGATGGATATTTGTTAGCATATTTGATTTAGAAAATTAACTATTATAAAATACACAAATGAATCCTTCAACATATTCCTAATTTTAATACTCATGTTCTTTATAGGATAAAATTGTATCTATTCAAAAGAGTTATCAATTTTTCTATAACCATTCACACAATATAATTAAATTTTGTCATATGCCATTATTTTCTTAAAAAAATCTTACATTTCTTTTTTACAAAAAGAGGGTCTAAGCTAAAAAAAAAAAGAAAAATTAGTTCACAGTTCTATAAAAACAATTCCTTCCTTATTAATTTCACTAACTCACTTTTTTTTTTATAAGTAAAAGAAGACATAACTAAGGGAACATTAGGGGTGCTCGAGTCCAAAAATTCGACTTACAACCTACACAATTAATTTAGTTACACCTACATAAAATCGAGAGGGTATTTGTACCACTCATATAAATTATAACAAAACGTTCTATTAGACTTAAGCACCGATCAAGACTAAGAAAGATCAATTATTCTATTCGTCAAATCCATTGAGTTATCTATGGCATCGTAAAAAATAATTTGATTACACATAATTCATATACACCAAACTATTGCAAATCAAATTGCAAAGATAGAATTCTCAGACCATTTCCTTCTTATCATACCTTCTCATTCTCTCATATGCTCTCCCACAGAAACAACCACCAAAGAAGGAATAATCAACCAAGCAATAATGTTCGTCAAACCAAATGACAATACGAACAATTGATAAACAAATTATCCGAATCTTTAACATGACGAAAATTACAATCATGATAATTTCCCCAAAGTTCTATGTCACGGGAACATCAAATTCCAATTTTAGATAACTTGTCTGCACACATATTTGTTTCGCGAAACATATGAGTAACTCTTACACATTTTTGTTTATTCTATAAAATTGCAAAGTTGTCAATTGTCAATTTTGTCTTTTTTTATGTCACTATAGTGTTCATATTACTTTTTTTAGAAATTCTAAAAATAAATTATAATTTTGTTTTGTTAAACATACAAATTATATTTGATTTGATCATTTATATATATATATATATATATATATATATATATATATATATATATATATATATATATATATATATATATAAATAAATGAGAGAGAGAGAGAGAGAGAGAGAGAGAGAGAGAGAGAGAGAGAGAGAGAGAGAGAGAGAGAGAGAGAGAGAGAGAGAGAGAGAGAGAGAGAGAGAGAGAGAGAGAGATGTTTGATGGCTACTTATTAATTAGTTAAATTTATAATTTTTTAATATCATTTGTTCTAGACAGACTAAAGGCTCAATACGAGTAAGATCTATTATGCTCAAACAGGTAAAATAAATTAAAAGTATTCAACAAATATACACTACTATAAATAATATATTTCATGACGACGATTTCACCTAACGAAATAAAAAATCGAGGTCAAATACCTGGACACACTCTATTTTTTAAAAAATATACAATATATTATGTCGGTTATTTAGAAAATCGATGGGTAAACATAGACATTGTACATGCTTTGAATTCCAACAACCTCAATTTATGTGTTTATCTCATTAAAAGTGTCGCATTCTTAAATTTTTTTAAATTTAAAAATTTGTGTGTAAGGGGTTTGGTGTGGGTCGTATAAATACATATCTTTAGAGACAAACATAATTGCAATCAATCTGTATCATGCCATATAATTATTAGTTGATTTATATTGGGTTGGAAACGTAAGAGATGGTCAGACGATGCCAACATTTACGACACTCAGATTTAGCAAGTCCTTCCAATTTTCAAAATTCCATTGTTCATTAATTTTTCGTTGGTGCCATTGTCTGAGGTATGTCGGGGGATCTGGGATGTTTTGAAGCATTCCAAACCGTAGTTTCACATAGTCACTATGGTGCATATTCACAGTGGTGAACCTAATGATCAGCGTGCATGCAGTCCAAACAGTTACTTCTTCTTCTCTGACTTCATGTTGATGTTTCAAGTTTAGATATGGATGTCAAATAAACTGTAGAGGAAAATAGATTAGATTATAAAATGGGCACTATTAAAAATAAATTATTATGAATTGATTTGTTTAGTGGCAATACATTTTCTAGTGTAAGGAGATCCAAGAGATTGCAATACTGAGTGATACAATGTCTAAGACCTTTATTGTAAATCATACCACAGACCAACCATCTAAACCAAAAAAGTTCAAATAAATTATTTAGAGATAATAACTGGTAAAGTAAGTAAATAGAAATAATGTTATTAACTTACTTTTGTGCGTGCGGGGATGTGAATCTGTTGTGGTTGATGGGTTCTAGAGACAGAAATCTAGATCAACCCCATGCTTAGAGTAAAACGGCGCATTCAGAAAATGTAGATGTGTCTTTCTTTGGATTTTTACACAGAGATATACAGGTAAGACAAACAAGCAGGACTCCAACTATAAGTTCTTATTTTATGTAGGTGTCTTAATAAGGATAAATATATAACATGCATACTATAACCACTACCTTCGAGAAATAATAATGAACCAGTT